GACCGCCCCCTTACAGCTGGCCAGATAGACTGACAACCAGCAACTAGAGCAAACCGAAATTTACCCAGCAGAAAAATAATTTCAAGGTCAGGCCGATATCAAAGTTCTTCAATTGCCATGAAGGACATATTATTCATGCCCCGAAAACTACCAAACTGCAAACTTCAATTTTTATATAGTACATATCGTTATTATTTGAAAATTTTGTTATTATTTTCCCTTAGAACTGGGGTTTTTTAACTTAAAACAAACTCTCAATTCGCGCTCTTTTGGCTAACCAGACACCCGAAGCAAATGAAGTCAAAGTGCAGTTGAAATTGACGAGTTTGTTTTAGGTTTTTTTCCTGAGTTCAAAGAAGACTGACAGTGCCCAAGGGGCGCTACAATAAACCTATTCTATTCTATTATTTTCCAGACTTTTATATCATCCGCAAACGTGGCGACATTATCGAAACAGCTAATGCCATGGTGTGTGACCCTAGCCACTACGATCTCCTGGCCCGGTTCGGATAAAATAAGAGCGGAGCTGGACGCCAGTGGTGGAGAGGATTTTACTCTGTACAGAATAATGAGGGAATGTCGGCAGTCGGACGAGTGTGCGTCCGACACCACGAAAGCCGCTTCCGCCAGAGCAACTTGCCTTGCCGCCGAAGGATGCTGCCGCAAAGTGACGGGGCCGGTTTTTTACGCCATTTGTCTCTTTTATCCGCCAGTGTATCCAAAGAGCGAAAGGGGTTGCGTTGATTGGTTCCGAGAGCATGCGAGGGTAATGACAAGCGTCGCATGGTGAAAATAGAAAATCGATCAGAATTGTGGTGCGGACAGAAGTGCAGCGGGATAAATCAAAGGCAACCAGACGTCCATGCCGAAGCAGTTTGTCGCTGGTGCGTACGTGCAGGTACTAGAGAGACTCGCGGCGTTACCATGACCACCTGGTTTAAAGCCACCACAACATCGCAGTCAAAATCCTCAGTGTAGTCGTTTATATAGATAGGAAAGAGGAGAGTGTCCAACGCCGAAAGCTGTTGGATACTGCCGTCTACTGGTACTTATCCGTATGCCGTAGAGCCAACAATTACTCTTTGGAGCTGCATGATAATAAGCTTTTAATTAATTGAAAACGTTACCCTAAATTCCACACTGCCATATCTTTTGTAGGGGTTGTCGATGAGGCACGCTATAAAACACCCTTTTCAGGCCAAAGAAGATGCCATTCACTGTACGGCCCTGGTCTATGGCTTCTGTCCATTTTTCGTGCAAGTAGACATTGCTCGCAAGATATGAGTGACCACAAGGAAATCCGTGCTGGGCAGCGCGTAATAGGTTTCTCTTCTCCAGATGCGTCATTAAATGCCCTTCAGTAAATTGTTCCATGATCTTACACAAAATGCATGTTTAAATAAGGAGACATTTATTTTCGGACTCCAGAGTGTATCCTACATTGCAGATTGGGGAAACAAAGGCAGTTTTCAATTCATCCGACAGTTGACCTTTGGAATGTATAAATACCGGCTCGCACAGTACATCGGCCAACTCTCCGAGGGAAAGTCAATGAATTCCACCTGAACCTGGTAGTTTGAAGGGCTTTAAGCTGAGTAGTTTGTCTTTAGTGATGCAAGTGAGAAAAAAATAAGATGTATAAATGAATAAGTCATTTTATGTAACACACATAAGGGTACATTCGTAGAAAGTAAAAAATGCATTGTGGACTGAAGTCCAGAAAGAATTGGCAAGCGCCGCACAGCGTTCAGTCCAGGCTTTTAAATATCAGCCTACCTGCAACGTGTAAATAGCTCGTGCGCTTTATACAAGCATTTATCCGCATTGGACAGCCTAAATAAAAAGAATAATGTACAAAGATATGTGGAGTCGGATAAAATGCCTAATTTAATTAAGATTTGCCTATGTTCTCCTGTTTTATTTTCTCATGCATTGCTCTTTTCCGGTCTCCACCCAACCCTCCTGTGCCAACGTGTTTTGCAAATGCTACTGTTTGGGTGAGAGTACGTTTGTTTGTGATTGTTTTTCCCTCACTGCACTTCTCTCTCGAACTTATGTAAGTAGTACCGAACGCTCGCTTCCTATATCGAACCCTCCAGATATATTGATAACGTTGACTGTAGGCAACCATAACTATTGAATTAGAATAACAGGCACCCCATTCTAGAGAAGTCCTCTGAGGAACCGAAAGTCCAGCGTGAAAGCTCCTGTTCTCTGTTTCTGTGAACCCAGAAACTACTTTTCTTGAAAAACTACGTAATCAAAACTGACCTTTTAGAAAAATTATGTATTTACCCACTTTGCCGACCTTCACAGCCTCTCGACCAGGAATTTGACTTGATTTCTTCAAATTATTATATCCATCAACCGCTGCATTCGAAATATTTCGCGGCTGCTCGCGTTGGAATGGATGCCTTAGTTTCTTATGAGAATTCTTCAGATGATGACTCGAGT